GTACATTAGAGCAGGTAGACGCTGCTTATTTCAGCCACAGCACTTGCCTGTAGGTGCTGGGATGTGGTTTATATCCTGCCTTCTGATGGGTAATGCTTTTGACATTTTGTCACGGATACATTAAGTTTACACTTTGTACTACACGAGAAAAGCTCTGGTAGGCCTGCAGCTACAGCACATCTGCTGCCTGAAGACAAAAATTCCTGACCTTTATGTTGGTTGAGCGATCGACCAGCGTTTAGCTCTGATTCCAACTGACCGGTTCCACAGTGCTGTCTGGATTTAATGCTGTTTCACTGTAGAATGGACTGAAAAGGAATTCCTTGCATCTTTTAAAGGAATTCTGCAGTGTTTTTTAACTGATTGAAGTCATTTGAGGGTTACTTAGAAATTAACACATAACTCATTGACTTAAACTTACTCATAATAGAAACCATTGGGCAGTTGCTGAATATATTTTTATGCAAAACATTTTTTGTAGAAAATACTGAAGGTAAGAGATACTGAATGTGTAAAGTAAGTCTGTATAATTTGTTCTTTCAGAGATAAGAGTGAAAATTTTGTGATAATGTGTTACAAATGTGCTGGTGTGGGTGGAGTTTTCATAGACTCCTGTCTGATTTCGCACAAATGTTTGCTCTTGCACTTGTGCAACTTCAGTTTTTCAAAGTTTGTACCACTGAAGTAGCATATAGCTTCAGAACAACTTTAGTAAGACCTTCTCATCCTGTATTGTTTGAGTGTAATGGTTGTAATTGTCAATGTCTGAATTGACAAAGTGCAGAGAAGCACACTGAAATGTTTACACTATATATTTTACAGGGAGAGATTAAATAAAAAAAAAATACTGGAATATACTGGAATATAGGTCAGCAGCCAGTGTAGCAGGTGCCTAAATACCTACTCTGCATGTTGGGTTCCTCATCTCAGATTCTTAGGGGATAGAGGGTTGTGCTTGTGTTCCATCTAAAGCAGGGGTGTCAAACTTAACCACTAAAAGGGCCATATAAAAAAAATATCAACAAATCTGTGGGCCAGAGAACGCCTGTCAGAGTATTCTTGAGCTCATGTGGTGATCACAGAACAATGCCGGTTTTTAAAGTAGTGCCATCTGACGGATTAAAGGTTACAGGCATTTAGTTGTGGTTTTCGGCCTTGCTCTTCAAATTCCCTGAATCTTTTGACGATATTATGCATTGCAGAGTGTGAAAATCTTTACAATCACTCTTTGAGGAACAATGTGCGAAACAGACTGCGGTACCAGAAACAAGCAAGCAGTGTAGCCATGAGATGACAGCAAAACATTTTTGGAGCAATGCCGAAAACATATGGTTAAAGAAATGAAGGATTTAAATATTCTTCATCTTCTAGATGATGTTTGTTCATATTTGCAGGTTAAGTGGCACAAAGTTTTAAAAGAAAAAAGCAGCATCATGAAGTTTGAGTTTTACATTACATTTACGTCACGTCTCCTTCTGTGAGTTTATTGGCCGGTTGCAAAGCAGAAATCTGATCACTGCCTGACTCGTGTAGACCCAGAATTTCTCCATTATCTGACAACCCATGTGCATGTAATCCAATTAATGACAAAATCTGATTTTCTACAGTTAGGATTATTAAGTGCATGTAAAAACACTCATTGTCTTTGTACTGTTTATGTTTAAATACAGGTCAAAGAGGATTTATAAAACTTTTATTTGCTTTTCGCAAACTGGATTAGGTTTGTTGTTTGACGGTCTGTTCCTTTTTTCACATATGCATAAAACAGAGTAAATGCACTTGTCTAAATTTTGGCATTCTTGCGACCTTCCATCAGTGACTTGATGGGTCTACAGTGGTCCAGTGGGCGAGGGTGCATGTCTCCGAGTCCTCATAGGATAGATACATGAGTTGTTCCTGTGCTATTCATTAAAAGAAATACCAATCTTGTATATTGGAAGGCCTTTTACTTTAAAACAGAATAGTATGAGCTATTTTTGTGGTGGTGAATGGAGTCTGGAGTACACCACTGCGTAGAAACCCTCTGATTTTATAATATTTGAAGAACTTTGTGAGTGACTTTATGAAAGAAACTTGTCATTTTCCGGCCGCAGTGAGGGCAGTTTGATGCTTGGGGAGCCATAGATGTTTAGGTGTAGCTTGATGTACAGCAGAGTTTGCAGCTATGAGTTCTTTCTCTTCTTTATTACTAAAAATAGGTTAAATTGCTCTCTGTTGCTTTTAATAATAACAGTGACTCCGAGAGAGATGTGGAGTGAGGGAAGGAGAAAGAAAAGAGCTCTTCCTGTCCTACTGCCTGCGGCGAGTTCTAATGTAGTCCTGATTAAGGAGAATGTCAAAGAGGAGAAAGTAAGAGTGGCATGTATTTTGGAGAGGAGAGAGGGGAGAGTGGGTTCGGGGCAGAGGCGGCGTGAGAGAGAGAGGAAGTGAGAGCGAATGTGGGTGGGTGAGTGAATGAGTGAGTGAGGGAGAGAGGTTCACAGAGCCTGTTATTTGTTAAGCCCTTCCATACCCCGGGGCCTGTAGTACTACTTAATATTAGCCATGGCTGAGCGGAGGGGTCTCAGAACTTCAGCCCTGCACCTGCTGCATGCCATGTTTTATCTGTTTCCAATGCATGACTGAAGCCCACACACTGCTTACCCTGCATGCTGAGAAGAGTAAACACATTTTTGCGCTGTACAGCTATTTGATTAGATCTACCACTATCTTAATGCTGAATTTCAGCACTGTAGCAGTAGATGATAATTAGAAAGGGCTGTGCAAAAGAAATTTATTTTATTCCCAGTCAAAATGACCTCTAAGTATAAGTTATTCATTTTTCAGCATCAGGAAAAAGGAAGAAAACATATTTTGTTCAGCATCTAGTGTGTTGACCCTTACAGCTTCCATTCTGTTTGGGAGTTTTGTGTTCAGCTTCAAAGAAATTGGCAGGGTTATTTTTCTACAGCTACAAAGTTCAGTCTTAGAAGTTGGTTGCATAGTCTACTTTTGACAGTCTAGTGGTGCAGTGCTTAATTGGTGGACTAATATGAAAACGTAAGTTCTGAGGTTTAAATCTTAGGATCTAAAAGTCAGTTCACAGTTCACAATTCACAGACCTTTCTGAGGGATATTGCACTCTTTGAGTCATTTCAGTCTTGTTCCTGTATACACCACAGCACTGAGACAGCTCTTTTGCATGTGGTTCATGGTCTGCTCCAGTCAACTGATAGTGGTTCTCTCGATATTCTCCTTCTCCTTGACTTAAGTGCAGCGTTTGACACTGTTAATCGTGATGTTCTTATTTCTCGCCTTCTCTCTATTGGTATCATTGATACAGCCTTACAATGGTTCAGGTCTTATCTTACAAACAGACAACATTTATTCACACAAGTCCTCTATCTCTGCTGTTACATGTGGTGTTCCTCAGGGCTCAGTTCTTGGACTCCTTCTTTTCCTAATCTACATGTTAACCCTTGTCCAGATTATTTGTAGCCCTGGCCTTAACTTTCACCACTATGCTGATGATATATTCAATTATATATCAGTACATACTACCCCTCAAATCCCCTTCCCAATACACTAACTGATTGTATTTCTGATTTAAAGGATTGGATGCATGACAACTTTCTCATGCTAAACACTGAAAAAACTGTTTAAAAAAAAAAGTTTTAAAAGTATAAAGGTTTTACTGGTTGGCCCTAAACTTTACCATCAAAATCCTAAATTTCTTCTGTTATTGATGATGTTCTTGTTAAACCTGCACCTGTTCTCAGAAATCTTGGTATTTTACTCGACCCATCACTTAATTTTGATCTATATATCAAGTCCCTCACTAAGACTGCATTCTTCTGCATTATTCACTTACCTAACATTGCTCGTTCCTAACTGATAATGATGCACATACACTGGTTCATGCCTTGCGTATTGATTACTGTAACTCCCTCTTTGTTAGTCTCTCTGTAAAGTCTATACAAAAGCTACAGTATATTCAGATCTCTGCAGTTAGAGTTCTCACGCATAATAAATGTTCAGCTCATGTGCCATTCCCTCTCAGCTACAGCCTGTCCCGTATAAAGTTCAAAATTGTACTTCTCACTTTCAAAGCCCTGCGTAGCCTTGTTCCCCTCTACCTCAGAGAACTCCTCACCTTTTACACTCCCTCTTGCTCTCTCGGGTCTTTTTGTAATAACTTATTTGCTGTCCCACGCACCACACTTTCCACACTGGGAGGTAGGTCCTTCAGTGCCATGGCCCCCAAACTCTGGAACTCTCTTCCTTAGTCTCTCCTAGACTGCTCTTTTTTTTTTTTCAACCTTCAAATCTGAATAAAGACTTTTCTCTTTCATGAGCATTTCTGTTCCTTCTTTACTGCTTAGTTTTAGCTTCCTATTCTGTGTGTGTTCTTTTATGTAAAGCGACCTTAGGATTGTGAAAGATGCTATAGGAATGTAATATTATTATTATTATGGTTTTGGATGTTTAATGCAAGTGCCCTCTAGTCTTTGAGGGTCTAAATGAAAAGCTTCTCGCTGTAGAACACTGTGCAAACTTCACCTGCATGAACTGACCTTTTGGATGACACTTCTGCTGCACAGACTCTAAATATTTAATTATAACCATTGCTTCACCTGTTTTGGTTCCTCCCAAGGTTTCTTCCTCTTGCTCTTAGGGAGTTTTTCCTTGCCACTGTCCTACTGGCTCACTTATGGGGGCCTGGACCCAGATTTTTCTGTAAAGCTGCTTTTTGACAACACCTGTTGTACAAAGTGCTATACGAATAAACTTTGACTTGACTTGACTATGCAACACTGTCTAACACTAGCCCAAAACATTTTTTCAGACATTAGCTGGTGAAAAGACTTCAGCCTACTCTAGTCTAGATTCATAAATGGTCAATCAAACACCTGATCAAGTACTACATCATGGCTTTGTTACGTTTTTCTGTGATTTACTTAATGGCATCATATATTTAGCTCATCAGCCTGTTCTGAATCTCCCCTCTCTCTTCTCTGCAGCCGGTGTGTTGTAAGGGTGTGGTGGCCCCAGCGCTGGTGGGAGCGCGGAGCTCTCTGGAGGAACAGGCCTATCTGCTGCTAACCGAGGCTGAGAGACAGACCATGAGCTACTACATCCAGGAGTACCAGCATGGTCATATCGGAGTGGAGCCTCTCGCCATGGCCTTGTTCGAGCTCTTCAATACACACGCCAAGGTCAGTCCTGATAGACAGAAGAGGGGCATATTGTGATTTGATGTGATTTACAAATGTAATGTTTTGAAATGTGGCTAGAACACTCTTAACAGCACTTTTTTGGTTTCCCTAATGTAAATGTTTCGCTCTTACTTTAGCTGCTCTGATAAATGGCAGCAGGTAGCTCCTCAGAAAAACATCTGCGAATAAAAAACAGAATACATTTTTGAAGCCAGAAATTTGTTCAGCTTATCTGACCTTGAAGAACCCTCCCAAGAACATTACATTCTTGCCAGAGTTAATGTATAACTGCTGATTCAAGCTTTAACCCTGAAGGTTCTTGCGCAGACTGCTGGACACATAGCAACGCAAACAACAATCTCGCCAAGCTAGTAGGTAACGGAAAGGCAAAAAGACAGATTTAAGATGAACATGGATAATTTAGATATGAATGGACTCATTTGCATTTCTCAGCACTCCAGCCTTGTAAAAATCAAACATTGAGAGACATTTTACAAGAAGCTATTCTACTTTTGGAAAGGTTTTCTGCTGGAGATGCGAGAAAAGCAGCTATAGCTGAGCTAAAACTTAAAGCAGAGTGAAGTAAGTCTGTGTTTTCTTTATATTCAATTGTTAGCCTCTACTAGTACATCAGCACATACTGAGACACATTTACAGCCAAGATGGTAAAATGGACATAAAGTGTTGTGTCTGTCAAGGTGAAAGGACAAAATGGCTCTTCTTAACATTTGGGTTGCCGACCTCTGACCTAAAGGAAGCAAAGGCTGAGCAAGCTGTTTAGACCTTTCGATATTGCCAGAGATAGCCATGTGCTACATTTAGGCTTAATTGTAGCCTAACCTTTTAACTGATTGATTTTTGTGACTGTGAAAGTGAGTACAAGAGTCTTAAACCTGCTGCAGACTATTCGATAACAGCCTGTATGACTTCAGTTATGCTGCTCATGATAAACATTTTCTGGAGATAAATTGGCAAAGCAAGAAAATAACAACATTCTGTGTGCATCTTCTTTTTTGCTGAAAAATAAAGCTGCACAACCAAAAAAAGGCCCTCCGCATAATGTTTTGCCTGAAAAAAACATGCATTAAAACAGTGAACAGGGAGAGTGTGGAGCTGTCCATGGCTGGGGAAAAGAGGGCAACATGGAATGTCCATTCTCCAAAGTAAGCTTAAAAGGAAATAGACTAATTTTCTGTCCATTACATGATCTACCATCACAGAATTCTTTCATGGTTTGTTAGTTTTGTCTATCGTGACAAAAACTGTACACTGCCTTTATTCTGCTTATAGAAAAACGAATGTTTTATTAAGAAAGCCTGCTATCAGAATGTTTCTTTAAGTTGAAGTGGAGTATCTGGTTGATTACTATGTGTATAACCTGTGTTTTTCTGCGGATTCTCCAGCTCACCCTGCTGGCGGAGGTGCGCACGCTCGTCGCTGCACAGGATCTGGAGCGCTTTGATGGGCAGGTGCTGCACCGTGAGATGGAGGCGTGGAGGGCGAGACATGGAGGCCTGGGCCTGCTGCACCCTGACTCCATCTGCATCTCTCACCCCGAGAGTCATGCCCCGTCTGCCTGCCAGCTGACCGCTCCAGCCACTGGCTATGCTAAGGCATGTGTGTGTGTGTGTGTGGGTGTGTGTGTGTGTGTGTGTGTGTTTGTGTTGCTCAGTCATCCATGTCTTTGTGTGTCTGCCAAGGCTTCGGCTGTTTCTCATTTGGTTTTATTTTGAGGTATTTGTGTTTAAGTGAGTGTCGTCTGTCTGTCTGTCTGTCAGTATGTGTGGATGAAGGTATTTTTGCCCTTTTACCTGATTCAGTTTTTAACCTCACAGGCCCTGTTTACACTGGACATTAAGATGTGTCCTGTATCTGAATGATGTCTGTATAAGCTTGTAAAGGACAACTGTATTCACACTTCTGTTCAGAATGTGTTTGGATCTGCACTATGTGTCCAAAACTATCCAGACACCCTTTCTAATTAGTGAATTATGTCACTTTAAGGTGCACTTACTGCTAATGCAGAAATTATTTGCGCATACACAGTTTGTATAATAGAGTAGAAAGCATTGACCAGTAGAATGAGACTCTGGAGTGGCCACACATGAGCCTAGTGTCATTATGCTCAATGCCAAGTGATGGCTAAAGGGTTATAAAGGCCCCCCCCAGCACTGAGCTGTGGTGCAACTATGTTCTCTGGAGTGATAGAATGCCACCCAATACCTTTGTGATGAATTGGAGTGGCATTTGTGATGCAGAACTAATCATCTATCTTCACTAACTTCAGCCTCACTGATGCTTTTGTGGCTGAATGTAATCAAATCCTCAATGCTCCAAGTGTAAAGTCTTCCTAGAACAGTAGAGGCTGTTACTGTAGTAAAGTTGGGCAAACTCCCCATTAATACCCTTGATTTCAGAAGAAACGTTGGAAGAGCAGGTGTCTACATAGTATATTCATTAATCCATTCATCATCTAAACCACCTATCCTCTTGGGTCGCTGGGTGGGTGCTGGAACCTATGCCAGCACTCAGTGGAAAGGCAGGAAACACGCTGGACGTGTGGCCTGTCTATCACAGGGCAGACACACAGACATACACAATCACACCAAGGGGCAACTTAGCATCTCCAATTGGCCTGACTGCATGTCTTTTGAACTGTGGGAGGAAACTGGAGCACCCGGAGGAAACCCACACAAACCCACACAGAAACAACCCTGGTAGCCCTACACAGTATATGATACGTTTAATACAATTCCAAATACACAAGCACAGATACATCAAACCTTTCTCCTTGTTCTCCCCCATTGTTTTCTGAAACAATGGGCAAGACTGTTTGGACTGTACTGCACATGGCCTGATTGCCATGCTGGCCTTGTAGTGCTTTAATCTCATGAAGAGGTTCTGATTAATGCCCCGTCTGCTTTGTTTGTGCTTTGATCATTGTGTCATGCGCTCTAGCTGGTTAATTGCCCAAGTTGACGCTAGTCATTATTACATGTTGTAAAATCTGACCCCACATAAAGCAGTAATTGGGCTTAATTTATAGCTCCTTAGTTTCACTCCATTGGGAATTAATTAGTTGTGTATTTAATGGCACCATGTTTACTATTTTTACCACAAGCCTCAGCCACAGGAAGGGGGAGTAACGGTCCACAAATTCATAATTTGTTTCGATATGATACAGTGGTGTCTTGCTGAGGCCTGACACCAGAAGTCATTCATGAGTGGGGCGTCCAAAAAACCATAAAGGGTCCGAGAAGGTTGAGCAGCGTATCCACGTTCTACTAAATGAATGAATGAATGAATGAATGAATGAATGAATGAATGAATGAATGTTTGAGGAAGATACAAGGTGGGAAATGTATGGTAGATCTGGCCAAAGAAGCCCTAATCAACAGAAGAACCACATTTATAGTAAACCATCAAAGGTCCTAAAGTACCACTGATATGGACCAATCAATTCAGTTCTTTATAAAATTAGTTTAATTTTACTTGGTTTTTTGACATCTATCACTATTGGAGCATGCCCAAGAAGTAGTGGGTTTAGTGGGGCATGATGATTGAATGGTGGGGCATTGCCCCACTAAATAACCCCCTGACACCAGGCCTCATTTGCGCTGGTGGGCCCAAAGTTTCAATAAAAGCTCCATTAACCTGCATTGAAGTCCCTGTAGTTAATTAATAATAAGCCTTAGTATGTAATGAGCCTGGAATGTTAAGGGGTTAATTCAACACATTTTTAAGGAGTACCTGTAAATATTAATGCTTCCATTTTCAGCTTCCAACATACAAAGATTATAATATTTGAGACTTTAGAGTGGCGGAAAATGTTAAAGTTCTGCCTGATTCATTCAGTCTACAGAGAAACAGTAAACAAACTGTGCTTTGTAGTGCTCCGATTTAATGTGCTAACCACATGCTAATATAATAGCCACAGGCTAACACGCTATCAATGATATAACAACATAATATGATAAAATACAATGTATTTTGATTCAATGTGATACTATATGTGATGCTTTACTGTTGAGTGTGCTAAGGTGAACAATTTGTGTTTCTTCTTGAGGTGCTTACATAAAAGTATTCATGCCAAATGTTTTATTGAACCAATAATAATAATATTCTTGAAATGCCTGTTTCTATTTCTTGAGGCGTACAATTTCTCAGTAATAGGTCTTTAGACAGGCCCATACAAACTTAGACTGCACAGGTTATTTAACATCAATGCAAGACTTGTTGTCTGTATTTGTCAGTGTTCACTGTAGAAATCCTAAAGATTTTTCATTTTATGTACACAAGAGTCTTAAAATATAGTGACCCCAAAAAGTACCACTAGAAAACTTCAAGGAATTTCTTCAGGTTACTTCATAATATGTTTGCCAAACTGATTTTTGTCTCAGAGGAAAACACTTTTAGCACTACATCAGCTGAATTGAGAAGAACTCCAACCAGACTGCACTAAAGATACTGTAAAGCAACTCAGAAGTGCAGACATTTTTGATGCAAGCAGAAATCTGCAAAGAAACTGCTCAAACAATAACAATCTGAAACAAACCAGCTGCCTATTCAAAGGTCTTTTTAAAACAGTGCCTAACACAATGAATTTGAGTGTATTTTAAGTAGGGTACAAATGTGCAAATAGTTCGGGAGCCCCTGTGTGTACTAGTACAGGGATGCTGTATCAGCCAGCCTTAGTACTCAGTATTGGATCAAAAAGAAAATTGATGGTATGATCCTTAGTTGAAGGTTGTGGTTTGTGTTTTTGTAGAATGAATGCAGGATGGATGGAGGTGTGGTGGCAGGACCTGCTGGGGCTCTGAACTCCCTACCGGATATAGCTTTGGTAAGTATTACTCTGAAAGATGGAGAAAGAATGTTGATGGTTGTTTGAGTGCTATTGAGTCTGAATGAAACAGACAGCTGAAGGAGGTATCAGTGATTTAGTGTCTGCCTTCACCATTTAACCAAATTCAGTATGCTACACTGTACAAACAAATGCTGTTTGTCTTTGTATTGCATCATGCTAGTTATCTATGACTGCCTTTGGAACGCAGTTTGAACTCTGTTTTGTTTCTTGTTCTTTCATGTGCTTCATTATTAAGCTCTATCTAGAAATAAAACAAGTTGATGGTCCCCAGCTTGTCCTCTTCTAATGCACTGTAACTGAAAATGCATTCAAGTTTCAGTTTAAATGTACAGCACTCTGCTAAAGAGACCACCTTCATTTATTTAATTTCCAGTCAAACAACCATTGATTTATGAGCAGTTATTCATATTTCTGAGGAGATTAGATATAAGATATAAAATAATCTAGTTACATAAGAAAGGTGGTATTCAGAGAAAAATAAGCCAAAAAAAAGGATTTTTCAGAAGAGGAGTTCAAAAAATTATTAAAAGATACAGAGAAAGCGGGACTCCTAACAATCATGCAAGACCTGGTAGACCACCACAACTGTCACCATCAGATAAACAGTAAATCTTAACATAACTGAGTGTGTTCGGGATTATATGGATTGTGAGAAGCACAAAAGGCAACCAACTGCTAAGACTGAACTGTAGAGGTGTGGAAAAATATCCCTGCAGATTTCTTTGAGAAGCTGAATAAACTGGATGCTCTAATGTCTGCAGTCTGGATGATTAATTGCCATCGCTGATATTGGAACAGGAGGCCTCGGTGCTTAAATAAATCTACAGTACTGTAATTCTGTAATAGATTGCCTGTCTAAACTGATGCAAACACTGTATAATGGTAGTACCTGTGGTTTTACTAACATTCAGTACTACAATCTGTGGTACAGTGAGATTCTTTATTTACAGCAATGGATTATGAGTCTAAAGCAGTTCAAACCCTTTTCATTTTATATAAAGTATTTCACATTTGAACTTTATCACTTGCTGTGGCAAATCATTATTTTTGGATAATTCAATTATTGGCCCCTTGTTGTTAGTGTACGTGTAACATACATGGATATCATAGATACCAGATAGCAGCAATTACATGACTTAATTTCATAATGTGATGACATTTTGAAATGAAATGTCACTCCTGAAAGCAGTAAAATGTCAGGATGTTTTTTCCTTTAGGCTATTATGGCCTCCTGCAATTATATTGTCCCTTTAAAGCCCCAGTCAGTAGTCGGTGCAGCTGGGAGGTTGGCTTGAGTGCTGCAACAAATGATTTCTAATAACAGCAGCACATTCACTGAAATGATACTGTAGATGATTTCATAGTAACTCTTAATGAACTCATAGTAAAAATTTATCTCCAGAATACTTTATATTCAAAAAGCAGTAATCACTGATCAAATAGCCCTTCATGGTCATTTTATGTCAAGAAATTAATAGTATATCAAAATATTTGCTATTTTTCTTACCTTGTTATAAATTCTTGTTGTTCCCAAAATGCTTTGTGTTCCCAAAATAAGTGTTTACATGTTGGTGTGAAGTTCCACACTGTAAAAGTTATTGTTGAATAACAATTATTAACCCCTAAATAATCCAGGCTTATTACATATAAAGGTTTATTATTCAGTAGCTACAGGGACATTAAACTTACTAATGCGTAATATACACATGTAATATTTAGAATATCATATCATATACCAACAATGAGTAATTATAAAAAATATATACAATTTTTTGCAACCATGTTAGTTTAATTTCCAATAATATAAAAACAACTTGGCTGCAGATGTATAAAATGACTGTAATGTGCTAAAGTCCTATTCAATTCCACATATTTCAGATAATTAATAGAAAGGTAAGAAGTTGTAAAGAAATATTATATGTAAAGAAGTCTTAGCTTTAGAAAGATGAGTCGTGGAGGGTCTAAAATGACTCTACAGCACAGTTATAACCAATTCAGTGCTAAAAAAGTTGTGTGCAAAAGTTTGAACTCCCCCAGTCAAATTAAAAGTGGAAATAAGTCAATATATCCCCTACAGAGAACAGAGTGTTTTAATGCACAATTTGGGAATAATAAACCTACAATACAACCATAACTTGGTGACATTATCTGAAATATGTGGAATTGAATAGGACTTGCATATTACAGTCATTTTATACATCTGCGGCCAAGTTGTTTTTATATTATTAGAAATCATTTAAAACTAACGTGGTTGCAGAAAATGTTATACGTTTTTTATAATCACTTACATTGTTGGTATGATATGATATTACATTATAAATATTACATGTTTATTTTATTGATTAGTAGCTTTAAAACAGTGTTTCCAAACTTTTGAATAGTGTTGTATGCACAACTAACTGCACTGTAAAGCATTAAAGCTGGAAGTGGCTTTAATTGCTCATTCCAGAATTAGCCTCAGATAATATGTGGTTATCCTCTGTACTGTTTCAGGATGAGGTACAGTCTTCGTCGGAGTCACCCCCTAATTTCAGACCTCCTCCTCCTCCTGCTCCTGGCTCCATCAGACACGGGAGTCCAAAGGGCCAGATTAAACGGCCCTCGTCTAAGTTGTCCCACACCAACCTGCTCTTTTCCACCCCCTGCAGAAAACACCAGGAAAACCACCCGCAGAACCACGTGCACTCACACACGCACTCGCCCTGTTCAGGCCACACTTCTCCGTGCACCATCCACCACACCTCCTCGCCCTGCTCCATCCACGCCTCTCCTCCCCCCTGCTCCCTCCATCACTCCTCTCCTTGCTCTGCTCATCGCAACGCTGGCCCTCCAGTCGGCCCCCCAGCTAAAGACCTGGTCCAGTTCCTGATGAGTCGGCAGGCGGCCGTGCTGTCCCCACACCCAGAGTCCCCCAGCCAGTCTCGGGCCGGCACCCCAACCCCCAGCCTGTCTCCTCGCTCGTCTCCATCCCTCTCACCCTCGCTGCTGATGCCTGCGCCGCCCCCCTGCAGCCCGGAGAAGCCAGAGACTTCAAGCCCCGCCCTCTCTCCTAGCCCCAGCTCTGCCCAGGCCCACAGACTCAACCTAGAGCCGGAGACAGCAGAGGAGCGGTCACAAGTGCAACCACGAGGTGAGATTAGCCTCACATAGCCTCTACCTCCACTTATAATGTTTATGGGATTTCTTGTACCAAAAACAGTCATAATTAATTTGGTAATTACTATTTTCCAGTCTTTAAATGATGTAATGTAAACTAGTTATTTTCTGATTGGGCAATTTTTGCAGCAAAGTTTCCATGTATGGATTGTAAGGACTGAGGTTTTTTAATTTTAAAAAAGGTTGTTTTTTTGCAATATGGATCCTTTGACTTTAATAGTGACTATATACTTTCAGGTATAAACTGTAAATGGTAAAAAGTAGTAAACTGTCACTGGGGTGGTACCCTCAAGGGTACATCTCAGTACCTTTAGTTAGGGAACATAAGGGAACATAACTGTACCATAATTTGTTGAAATTATAATTTCTGAATGTATTCTCCACACACCCCGTCTCGTCTCCAGGCTTTTTATTTTATTGTTCTGTTTTAAAACATTAGGTTTTAAAAAGGTACAAATATGTACTTTTCACCTGGAAAAACTTATTTAAGGTACACAATTGGACCTTAAAACCACCTTTGAGGGTACATTTGCGATGTTTGTACCTTGATGAATGAAAAATGTACCTGCAGATTATCTTTATTTCTAATAGCAGGTTTAATTTGGGGTGCTAAGAAATTCACTACTAGGAAATCACAAAAAGGTTCTTTGGTTTGTGGCCTTTTGATCACCAGTTTCCTTTTGGCCCACCGGAGTCGAAGTGTGAGAAAAAGAGTGCAGCTTTACTCTTTTAAGTGGTGTGTGTGCATTGATTCATTTCTTTATTTATGTTTGTGTGTTTATAGATTTATGTCTAAATTAATATGTATGTGGGAGTATATGGTGGGATTTTGCTTTCATGTCTTTGAAGCCGGAGGGGTTTAACCTACTTTATAAGCTTTCACTACACCTACAACTACTGTATTATCTCTGTTCCTTGATCTCTGTACTTGAAAGCATATAGTGAACACTGTGAATGATAATGTATAGAGCAGTGTCACAAGACCCTTTTTCTTTTCTGATACCAATACAGTGATTTAAACCTGGATTGTCAGCCGATACAGATCTGATAGTGTTTGTTTAATAACTGCTATGTTTTAAACTGAGCTGTCTTCCATCGATGATCTTCACTTAAAGTGGAATTTCACTGTTTGGTAATAGGAACCAGGGGATCACGTTGTCTACAGTGTAAATATTGCCATTTTATTTTATTTTTATTTACTATACAAACTGACTGTGAACTTACAGGTGTCTACTGATTTTTTATATCACTGCTGTTGGAACAAAACCTTGTATTTCCATTTTTGACATTTTTCAGTTTTTAACATAGTTTAAAATTGTCTGTAAATTTCACAATGAATGGACCCTAAATGATTTGAAAAGAAGTCTTGTTCCATTGACTTATATTACAAGTAAAATATGTTTTTTCTGTCTTCTGTAAATTCATTTTGGAGATACGAGGTTTTGTTCTGGCAATATTGATATGCAACGTTAAAAATGGTAAAATAGTGGTAAATCTGAAAAAAACACAACCTGACACAAATGGAAAACTTTGTGTTTTCTAATTTCAATGGGAGGTTTCATGTAAAACTTTCTGTGAGGGAATCTTTGGGACCATTAAATACTCCAGGCCTTTGGTTCCTATCACCACCACTGCGAACAATTCTGACTCAATAAGTTTCTCTACCATGAATCATCTCAAGTCAAAAAACTATGAGTGACTTTGTTTACGCCAGCGATTACATTGTGCAGACATTTTTTTAAAAATCAGTGGAATTCCCCTTTAAAAAGAGCACCTAAAAGTAGGCTACTATGTTCAAACTGCCTAAACAATCTACTACCTCACAGGAAGAAACACACAGCTAACAACACTGAGTCTCACAATGTGAGCGTGTGCTTTCTCAGGCTAGATTTGTTACAGAGTTGGATCAGTTTCATTCTTTTTGTTCCTGTGATATCTGATCCAGCATATTTGCTATCAGATGGGTACCATCACTACTAATGTGTACATATTTATATATGTGTATATATACATGCATGTGTTTTCAGGCGCCACCCTCTCCCAGCTGTCTGACAGTGGACAGACCTTGAGTGAGGACAGTGGAGTGGACATTGCGGAGGCAGGGGGGTTAAGTAAGGACGGCAGTCCCAGGCCTGGGAAGCCTTCCCCTCAGCAGGCCTCAGGGGACCCACGGGGGGCCGAGGGACCTACACAGGTTCCCAGTCAGCAGGTGAGGGTCTGGGGCCTCCAACAGGCAAGAAATACAGAGCAGGTTGTCTTTAGGGCATTATTTTATTCTTCCCCTAGATTTAACATTGGAAGTCATAACGCTTGTTTCTTGGTGTTACGTTAAAAAAGAAGGAATATACAGTATCACATTATTCATGTAGCAGTGTGATTGGATGAGAGACATTCTGTAATTGCCTGGGGTCACCCTGACCACATTTATTAAGAGTATCACTTCAGCTTGTAACTAAGCAACAATTGCCAGCATATTGTCACTGTAATATCAAAACCTCCTACATCCTATTTTTTTGTTTACTTTTTTACACAATATGTAAACAACTGGCCTTTGTATTGTGTGAACATGTCATGATGAATGGACCAATAGAAATAGTGCAAAATATAAGAAAATAAAATTGTTACATTAACATACATTAAAGTTGAAGGGGAATTCCACCAATGATATGAAAATTTCTGGTTAATTAAATGGATGCATTAAACAAAATTATTAAACGTTACTAAGTTTTGAAAATGTCTGGTTAATTAAAAGGTAATTAAACGGTCATTCAGAGTGGTTGGATTGGAAATGCTCCATTCTAGAGAAACTTAGACACTCAGAATTGTTTACAGTGGTGATAAGAACCAGATATCTGAAGAGTTTAATGCCTCTAAAAGCTCACACACTAAAATTTATTACAGCGAATGGTTATGAATTTGCTGAATAATGTCTGAGACGTTGTTTTATGATAGTTTTCTCATAAGGTTTTGGCCTTACACATCTTTTTAAAAATCTGTTCATGGTGGAGAGGTACATGCAGGGTGTTGTAAAGCAAAATAGTCCCTAAAGAAAACTTACTTTTTCAGATTTACTGCTATTTTTTATCACCACTGTGTATAAAACTCTGATGATACATGTAGGTTCACTGTTTATTTTGGATAGTAGATGAAAGGGCTGTATTTGCATTGCATACATTGCAACCCCTGGTTCCTGTGACCACCACTGTAAATGACTTTGTTTGCATCTCCATAATTAAATTATGCAGAAATTTTGAAAAATTGGTGGAATTTACCATTAAGGTGAGAACATTCTGACCAAACATTCTGCAACAAAAACTGACATTGTAATGCTTACAAGCTAAATGAACCAGAGTGAATGTGTTCTAGATTCTAGATTCTCCCAACATTCAAACCTTTTTGTTTGTTCGTGTTTGTCTGGTTGGTGTGCTCTGGAACTTAAGAATACTCTTAGAAAAAAGGGTTCTATATAGTATGTAAAAGGGGTCTATGACTTGTAACCCTTGAAACCCTTTTTGGTACTATACAGAACCATTTTTAAAAGGCTTTTATATGTAATAGGTTTTTCATCACAGAGACAATTTAGCAGACATTAGGTTTTAATACAGCAATAATACAGCAACAATATAGACCAATTTTTGGAGCTATTTTTCTTCACGGAATGTTAATCTTTCATGGAGAACAGGTTTCAGACAGTCTGAAGGCAGGTGGCATCTGCTAGAGTCTGCTTTCCACCCTTAACCCCCATCATTCTGCCATTCTGCTCTTAATTAAAAGCCGTGCATTGCAATAGCACCACAGTCGAGCTTGGATCATCTCAGGTCTCTCAGGATCAAACTGATGATCAAAGCCAGAGTGGGTGAAGGAGGCAGTCTGGAGGGTATTTAATCCCCCTGAATTCATGTTCCACACTCTTGTCTTTATCTCACTGTGTCTCTCTTCACAGACAGGTCTACCTGAGCCTACGCTCGTAAGGGTGTCCAAGAGTGCCAATACGCTGGGTATCGCAGTGGAAGGAGGTGCGAACACCAGACAGCCTCTGCCACGTATCGTCACCATACAGGTGAGCGTCATCAATGCCCAAAAACATCAGACACTATAAGAAATATATAGACAAACATTGCTTGATAAACTGCTTTGCAGTGCTGAACTGTGACTATTAGATGTAGCTCTTCATTTTGGGCCATAAGTGGCAAAACCCAGTCAAAACTAAGGGAAAAAACAACCTCTACGTCCATGCATATTTTTGACCATTCTAGATTAGACACAGATGTTTGAAGCTTGTAAAAGACAAGTCTTGTTTTATTTGAATCTGGTAATAGACATTAACATTCATACTCTACTTTGGAGCAGTTTTACAGTGACTCCTTCAAGAAAGACATAGAACTGTCATTGTTTGTCACTATTTACATCTAACATAAACCCATTGGTTAGGCTGCAACACATATTCACAGTCAGTGATGTATCCAGGACTTCCAGAAAGCCTAGAGTGACACCTAACAACATTGGTCCCACCCACTGTAAATCATCATCCCAATGCTTCCAACCATTCCCAACCAACAGTCCCAGCCCTTCCCTACCAATGGTCCAAACCATTTCCAACCAGTGGTCCCAACCATTCCTAACCAACAGTCCAAACCATTCCCTACCAATGGTTCCAACCATTCCCAACCAATGGTCCCAACCATTCCCAACCAATGGTCCCAACCATTGTAAAAGTGAATGGTTGATTCCATCAGTTCCTAATTGTTTTAGTTGTTAATTAGACATGTTAGGCCCTCAATCCAGCTCTTAAAGCCTAACACATAATATACTAATATACTTTTAGAACAAATAAGTTGTAAAATTTATATAAAAAAGACAAACATCAAAATTAGTTTGATATTTTTGAATTCCGTTTTTCTCAGCTTCAAACCTTCATGAACTTTCTATTGTTTTTCATCAGAAACTGCTGGTGAAAATGAGGAAGACTCATAGACAGTTGAGCTGCTTTTAAATGCGGAGGCACAGCTAATGAGGCAAGCGCATCTGTTTAACAAACCATCAGATGGCCAGGCTCAACTGGAACAGAAACAAGAGACATTAAGATCTCTTTAAAAAAACGTTTTCCTCATGCCCGCTTAAGCTTGCCAGGTCAGTGGAACTGCATTATTGCTCATCTAACTGCCCGTTACTCAATTAGTCAAACAACTAATAGCCTGCAACTCATTTGTCCTATGGGTTTTTAACTACTTTAATAGTAACTGTACCTCTATAACCCCTGAAGCTAATAGTGTCATGACCAGGCACTGAAGCAGGCTTTGGCTGTTTCTTTAAGGATCTTTCTCTGGGTTTTGATTGGCTGAGAATACGATTTAGTTTATGCCATCTATCTCGCGCCTGACCTTTTGACTCTGCTTGGGCATGGTAAAGAAGTGCATTAGCACATTGTGGATTCAGGGCCCGCTTATGCAAATAAAGTGAGCATGTGTGCGCACAGGCTTGTTTTGTCTCCTTTGAATTTCGTATACATAGAGGAGAGGCTTTTGCTTTGGTGCAAAGTAGCTTTGCACTGAGATGTGTCTGCTTTCAAATATAAGCGCATGAACTAGGGGCAGTTAACCAGAGAAAGCAGGTGCACAGATGTGAAATCTGCATAATATATACACAACAAACATTGTGGCTGTAACAGAGCCAGCTGCCCTGTACATTGTATGAACATTTCATAATGAATGGAGCAATAAAAATGGACCAAAACTGCTTTGGATGAAATATAGTTATATTAACTTACAGTAAACTTGTTCCTTCTCTTATAAGGTTATCATTTATCCAAGCTTTTCTTGCGATAGTGGACACTCCCAGAAATAAAGGTAGTAATCTGTCACTGGGGCAGTACCCCTCTTGTCACTGGGGTGATACCCTCAAGGGTACATCTCAGTACCTTTAGTCAGGGAACATTATTGTACCATAATCCACTGAAATTATATTTTCTAAGTTGTATTGACTCCACACACCCTGTCTCGTCTCCAGGCTTCTTATTTTATTGTTCTGTTTTAAAACACTATTATATAAAGGCACAAATACATACTTTTCACCTGGAAAAACTTATTTAAGGTTCACAGTTGGACCTTAAAACCACTGTTGTACCTTTGAGGGTACATTTAAATTGTCTGTACCTTGATGAACGAAAAATGTACCTGCACAGCACCTTTATTTCTAACAGTGTACCACAGATTTTAAGTTGTTGAGAAAAAATGAGGTGTAGATATCTGTGCCCAAGAATCCACTGTTTGTCTGATATGCCAACATCTTTGAGTTGTCTGCAGTGCAAGAGATTTCCATCACAATGACCCGCTCGCTGATTACTGTGAGTTTCATCAGTGCCAAGTCGACTGCAGAACCCAATTAGAAGCTCTCGAGATGGCGTTTTACTGATTAGAGCACTCCACAGAGCCTGACTGTGGCTTGATAAAGACTCTTACTCTCCCACTTATGTGTCTTATGTCAAAATTGACCCCATTGACAGTATGGGAAATTTGAATGTGTGCATAACTTTGCTGGCTTGTATTTGAAAAAAATGTTTTGGCATTTGGCAGAAATTACAGCACTGTGAAAAAAAGTTAGAGATATTTAATTCACAGTCAAAATTGCCTTTAAGAACAAGTTGTTAATTCTTCAGTAGATATGTCTAAAGAGATTAGATATAAAATGCAGTGTTATATATTAACAGCTGATCCACATACATACAGAAGTAGAAAGACAAAGGAAAAAAAGTGAGATTCCAAAACCAGATTTCAAAAACTCCACTCTTGCTTCAGATTTGAAAAGATCCACTTTTTTTTTTGTATATTCTTCCATTGTGAGAAGACAACTCAGCACCATAGGTCTTAAAGGATGTGTAGCTATCAAGAAGCCCTCACTGAGAAAAGGACAGTGGACTGACTTCAACATTACTGAATGTGTTTGGGGTTATTTGGATCGTGAGAAGTGTAAAATGCAACCAACTTCTAAGACTGAACTTTGAAGGTGTGGAAAAATATCACTGCAGATTTCTTTGAAAAGCTAAGGTTTCTGTTAAACTTTCTGCTAAATATGTGATACTTTACAGATGTCACAGATTCTTCATTTATTTAATTTACCATTAAGTTGACCATTATGTACAAGATGTTCATTTTTTAGCATAAGGGGGGGAAAACAGGAAACATACAGTACTGTGCAAAGATTTTAGGTTTTTGTCAATGTTCTCATTGAACCTTTTCCAAGCCTCTTCTCCTGTCAACCCAGTATTAACTGTAGTTATCATCCAACACCTGCAGAGCTTCTGTTTCTCCTTTCTTTCCTAGATGAAAACTGTTTAACTGATGGGAAAAGTTTTGGTGGTCTACCAGGAGTTTCAGGGTTGTTAGGAGCCCCATTTTCTCTGTATCTTTTAATCCTTTTTTGAACTCTAGTATTAGAAACTCCTGTTTTTCATTTGTTTTAATTTGAATTTCTCCTTCCTAACAGAAGTGGATCATCTTATATCTAATCTCCTTAGAAATATCCTGAAAAACTAATGTACTGAATAAAAATTAAATAAATGAAGGGTGGTCTCACACTGCACAGTTTTGTACGTACTGTTAGCCAGCTTTAGGAAAGTATGTGGCCATATCAGCTGTGCAATTTTCAGCACAGTAAATATTTTGCTCTAACAGGTCTAAATATTTAATGATTAATTTAGTAATAATAAAAAAATGCTCAAATAGGTTCAACCATAGTGCCCAGTCATAACACACATTTTGGAAGGTAAGGCCCTCACTCTAGCTATTACAGCCCTGGTTCACTGAATTATTAATTCAGGCCGTGGCTAGTCACAACATGTTCAGAAACAAGGCCGCAGATGGATGAGTACTGAAGGACAGCAAACTGTGTAATTCATCCTTGTCCTTGCGGTGAGAATTATTTGGCCTGAATTGACTGTAATGTTTTCTTTACGACTGGGAAATTTGTACTTAGCAGCTACCTTTGGCTTGTTTTAGCACTGTCTGCTGCCCTCATCCAATCTATTTGTTCATTATGAGACCACTGAAAATTGCGTTCGATTTTTCATTAGACCTTTATTAAGGTTATGTTAATGTCATCCCACTAGTGCTGCCGCTGAGACCTCTTCGCCCGAAGAGACTGTGTAGAGTTTGACAGTGTAGAATCATCTGCCCAGATGAGCTAATCTGTCACTTAAGCATGCCCAGTTTGACAGGTGAGAAAGCGGAGAAGACAAAACCGTGAAGTTCCCATTAGCAAAATGAGACCAGCATGATTCAGCTCTCATTAACGAATTAAAACTCCTGCATAGAAGCATCTATAACAGTGTACTGATAGTGTTATCACACAACATTTTTAGTTTTAGAGATATTAGATAACAAAAATAGGGATGCACTGATATGGGAATTGTGGGCTAATGCCGTTTTCCGATATTTTCACATGCATATCTTCCAATATTGATACATAAACATTTACAAAATGTAGTAATATAGAAACTAAATCCACCTGGATCATCATTATAGAGACATGTAACACTCACAAATACAGTTGCCGCCTCAGTCCTGATAAATCCTGGACACTTGATCAGTGGCTTGATTTCAGTGACAAGGTAGCTACTCTCATGGTGCAATCCTAGGTAGATAGATGTCTGTTCAGCTACAGAACCTGATCTTCTCAGTTATCACACTGGAACGCTGCTTTGTGCCTAGATGTCACAGTAGTGCACCTCACTGTGATATGCTTCTAACAGTAGTCATTGTTTTTCATAGATCTGTTTATCATTTCTTACTCTGATAAGCCTCAAACAGCAGTCATTGGTAAAAATAAATACTTCTGTCCAGTTACAAGCTGATTCATTTTCTTTCTTCTATATTCACTATCGTATATTCATTGCCAAATCTCATTCTTTATTCGTATTGCTCTTGTTGTGTTGTTTTGCTATCTGGTGTCCACCAGAGGAGGATTGGCTCCCCTTTTGAGTCTTAGTTTCTTCCTCTTGCTCTTAGGGAGTTTTTCCTTGCCACTGCCAACCTTGGTTTGCTGATTTTGGGCTTGGACCCAGATTTTCTGAAAGGCTGCTTAGTGACAGGAGCCAGTTGAGGTGGTTCAGGCGTCTGATCAGGATGTTCTCTGGAGGCCACCTTGTGGGGGTTTACCAGGCACGGCCTACTGAGACGAGACCCCGGGGTCATCCCAGGACCCACTGGAGGGATTATATCTCCAAGTTGGCCTGGGAGCGGCTTGGGGTCCCCCAAAATGAGCTAGAGAAGGTTGTGGGGGACAGAGTCGTCTGGGATTCTGTGCTCTCCCAACTGATACCCAACCCTATGTGGATTAAATGGTTAAAGATGATGATGATGATGATGATGATGATGATGCTTTGTGACAGCACCCATAAAAAGCACTATATAAATAAATCTTGACTTGATCTTTCCAAAACAGTTGTCCCTGAGTTGAGGGTAACGTCAGCAATCAAACTCATTCTTTGTATAAAAATGGTTTGACTGGATTAGTAGTTTAAACTTCATAAGTGATACTAACATTTTCAAACAACCTTTTACTGAAGGAAAAGCCAGTATTTTATCTTTCAGCACTGATGACTTCAAACAGTTGAAAAACATTACTGAGCTAGTTTGTGTTTAATGTGAGGCCACATATTCTCCTTGGGAGTTTAAATCTGGACTTCGACCAGGCCAAAACCAACTAAAAAAGCTATTATATTTTAGGCTTGGCCCATTTTTTGCCAGGGGTGTAGATATTTTACAGTAGCACAATAGCCCACCTTCTGCTCTTCAGGAGTACTAGAAATACTTCATTAAATATCAATTAACGTTCAAATCTGTGTGATGCTGATTTATTTTTTAGGCAAGTACCCTATATGTACAAACGTATCCAGACATCTTTTCTGATTAGTCAGTTCAGCTACCTTAAGGTGCCCCTATTGCTGACACAGACATTCAATAGTATACCCACAGCTTGTGTAATCTCCAGAAAAAGGCATTGCCAATAAAATGAGCTGCCTGGAGAAGCTGAATGCAAGCCTAAGGTCACCTAGAGTGATATCGAGCCCCCATCATTGGGCTGTGGAGCAGGGGAACTACATTCTCTGGAGTGATAGAGCTCCATCTAGTACCTTTGGGATAAGTTTAAGTGATGTTTGTGATCCAGAACTAATCATCCAACATCAGTACCTGACCTCAGTAATGATCTTGTTACTGAATGCATTCAAATCCTCACAGCAATGTTCCAACATTTGTTTGGAAAGAACAGTGCAAAATATTTAACTAAATATGAAGTTCAGGCTTAGTGGTCAGCGGTAGTCAAAGTAATCAGATTAGCTGTTAGTTACAGGTCAGTTCAGTTCTTAGCTGTTTACCTCTGGATACAGCTTGGTTTTAGCATTTTGTAGCTTAACATTTTACCCGTGTATTTTATTATTTTTGACTGGCAAATTCTCAAAACTATAGTGAAGGTTAGTAGCCTTGGCCGAGTATCTGTCTTTACTCAGTTAAACTCTTTAATGAGGGTTGATTGCTGTGGGTGAGGTGACCTGTCACCCACATATCAGCTCCCACAGGTGGTAACTAAGCAGCAATGGTAATATTTCTTTGTGGAAGTAGCCTCTTCTTTCTCATCCACTCTGAACCATAACTTGATCACACTGAAACAAAGGAGTCTCCATGAAAGACATTGAAGAGGATTACATATTCTTGTTTGCTCCTCTTTCTCAGCATTGCTCTAACTCAATCTGTCACAGATATAGCCTTCTGGAAGATCCCTGTCTGTTCTAACTTTACCTTACAGGTTATAGTTTATGTAAAGATGGAATCCCGCTCAGCTCATCTTACCTGCTAAGTCCACTGCTGTGGAACCCCTAGTAGCTTGAGGCCTCTGGAACTGTCAGTACCCAAGCTATAAATCAGGCTATATGCATGTTCTTTCCTTTCCTTATTCTTTGGCTTTGCATCTCTTCTTTTGAATTTCATACTGTTGCCATATGCTTTGCACCAGTGGTGGGGAGATTGGGGCTGGAGTTCAACACAGTTTGCTTATTTCTCCATTCTCATAGAAATACTAATCCATTTACTGCTGACTTGAATTAGATGTATTTGAGCAAGAAAAGCACCACGCTCCACCAGAATCTGGCCCTCCAGGGCTGGAGTTCCCCACCCCTGCTTTATATCATTCTGATCTGCCATCCTCCAAGCCCCGTCTGCAACTTCACCAAAGATCTTAATTGAGTTCTCAGTTAATTTCCTGAAGATAGCTATTCTTTGATCTTGCTTGGCAACCTCAATTCTACATGATCTCAGTCACCCACCATCTCAAGTCCTATGACCTTGAACACACACACTGACAACAACCCATTGATCTAGAGCATTCTAAACATCATCTTTACAAGGAACTCTGCTCTATCCAACCACTTTAGATCAGATCATTTTTTGTGTCATTCTCTTTTCCACCTGTCCTGAGGTGCCCTTCATCTTTGACAGTTACCTTCAGGAGGAACCTTAAAACATTTTCTCTATCCACTTTTTCTTCAATATTGATCTCATCTCTACCACCACCTGCTTTGCCCTGTCCTCTTCTCCGGACTTCACTCTGCGCTTTCATCTCCAAACTGTCAAGATCATTATCTTCCAGTCACTTGATCTTTGACATTCTCAAACAGGATAGACAAATGCAACAAAGAGCCAAGAAAACATGCAGAAAATCTAACTTTTCACTGGATCTGAAAAGGTATGTTTTTAAGCTCTGCTGTCTCTACTGTCACAGGTTAGATTTTTTTCGTTTCAGAAACAATGGTTGCATTGCAAACCCATTAAAAACAGCTCTACTGAATTGCTATCTCCCCTTCCAGCATCTTAAGTTATTGCAAATGACATTATCATTTAATTAGAACAGAAGGCCAACAACATCTGTAAGTCCTTCAGTCATTCAGCTAAGGTGGAGGCACCCACCACGTCAAACTCAAGCCAGATTCTGCTACTAGCCCTCAAATCATCCACTGGGGGTGTTCAAATGGAACTGTTCCATTTCAACATCCCTAATTTCTGACCTGAGTGATCAACAATCTACTTACTAACAAGTGATCCAGTTTCTTTTATCTTCAAATTGCACCACTACTTGAGACACCCACCCTTTATCCAAGCCATGGAATGGACAGTCCTGGAATGGCAATGTACCTTCCTATTGAGAGGAACAACCTTCTTGCCACCAGTCTGGATACAGTGAATCACTGACAATCTTGCATGGTTTCTCTTACCACTTCAATGCTGATGACACCCAGCTTTATTTTCCATTCCCTCCATTCACCTCTCAAATCTCACAAAACGATTTCTGGCTGCCTTTCTGATATGTCAGACAGGATGGAGACCTGCCACCTAGACCTGAATCTTGCCAAAAGAGCGGATCTACCTACCTGCGCAGCTCTCCCCAACGCTACACCTTTTATTACCAATCTCTCCCTCACTGTCTTTGTCATGCAAGGCCAGAAACTTTGCAGTTGGTCTAGCTTCATTTTTCAGATTGCATAACATCAAGCACCACATCCTGCGGATTCTTACTTCACAACATCAGAAGTATACAACCTTTCCTGGCTGCAGATGCTGCTCTACTTTTGCAGTTCTCTCTTGGGGGGGCTTGCATCAACCATACGTGATTTTTCCTCTACAAAACATTCCAAATATTGCGTCTTATCTGGTCCATGGTCCATACCATCCAGAAGTTCTCCCATATGATGACTACTCTGTTGATATCACTCACTGACTCCCTGTGGCACCAAGAACCAGGTACTCTGTGGTTCTCACCTTCCAGACTTCAAAGGCCTTACCTTCACTCTACTTCTGTATCTTGGTTCAGAACTACAAAACTGCATGTCAGCTCAGGTCTTCAGCTTCTACGCTCTTGTCTTGTCCTTGCCTGAGATCTCAGCACACTCATAGAGTGGAGTCTTGCTGCTTTTGCATTCATGCCCCTCAGTGACAGATGGAGCTTCCACCTGAATTATAAACTGCGCACACACTTTGTTCTATACTGTGGCTTGAAGACTTACCATTTTTTTTTTGACAGTACATAGAGCAAAGGTATTCAGTACTGGTCCTGGAGAGCTGGTTCAGCACAGTTTGGTCATTTTCCTGCTCGAACACACCTGATTCAGTTCCTATCCTAATTGCCCAGTTTAGTGGGATTGTTTGAGTAGGGTAATTACCAAACTGTGCTATACACCAACCCACCTGGACCAGAATTTAATACCCTGCACTTGTTTTCTGTTTTTTTTGTAATCGTTTTTTTCAACGATTTTCTGCACTTATCATCTGTGTTTACCATTTACTTTATATTAATATAATACATTAATCCAAAAAAAATGATTTCAAGGTGTTTATTTAACTAGATACTTAACAAGCTATGATGTCATATCACCTAGCAGTATGGGAGTTGGGGACTGTAGTTGTTTTGCTGTGGTTATGGATGAGGTCTCAGCGCTAATGGGGGCTGATGAGAGGACAGAGGTGCAGGCATGAAGCTGTCAGGACTGGCCCATCTCCAACCATCTGTCTGAGAGACAGACAAAAGCCAGATAACACTCCCTCCCTCCCTCTCTCTCTCTCTCTCTCTCTCTCTCTCTCTCTCTCTCTCGTCTCTCTCTCTGTCTCTCTCTCTCTCTCTCTCTCTCTCTCTCTCCCTCTCTCTCTCTCTCTCTCTCTTCAGTGCTGTTTATCTACCTTGACAGAAGGCTAGCTAATGACTTCTCAATACAAAGTGCCACGTAAGGCCAGGGGAGCGTTCATTTTTCTTCCTCCTCTCTCCTCTCTCGCACACTTTTGATAAATGTTGTGGCTTGTCTGTTCTTGGGCTTCTTGCCTATTCTTCAAAGCTTCAAATTTCCCTGGTGTATTTCAGTGCTGCAGTCTCTCACTCTTTCTCACTGTCTCTTACTCCTTCTCTCTCTCTCTCTCTTTCTAGAAGGGTGGCTCGGCACACCTCAGTGGACAGTTGCGGGTGGGGCAGGTGATTCTGGAGGTCAACGGTGTGTCCCTCAAAGGCATGGAGCATCGAGACGCTGCGCGCCTCATCGCCGAAGCCTTCAAGACCAAAGAGAAGGATTACATCGACTTCTTGATTACAGACTTCAATACTGCGCTATAGGGGATGACAAAGAAGCAGCGTATAAAGACATGAGGTGTCTGAGGTCATGCATCCTTAGTAGTAATGATGCACACCCAAATGAACTCAATGCTGTCCCACCCTGAGGTAAACAAAAGTTCCAAAGCTGATACATTCTGTCCTACGCACATCTCACCCATCATCAGTATTACTGCAGACTTTTACCCCAGCACAAGTAATCTAAAGACTTAGGAGGTCATTAAGTAGTATACATACAAAAATTGCACCTGTACATTTAACTGACACCATCTTGTTGCATGAAAGTAAGGCTACTGTTATAATAACACCAGCTACTCTGATTGTAGCCTACTGCTGCCAAAGACACTTAACTACCACAGTTGACTAAGCTTGCTGGTTTGCATGGGGTGTTTTGGTGAGGTCACCAATCTTATGATGTCAATTAAATGTTATCTTGCATATAGCATATAGCAACAGGGTGATTCTAAACATTTGGGGGCCTGAAGCAGCATTCCACCATATATATATATATATATAATATATAATATATATATATATATATATATATATATATATATAAATTAACAAGCAAGCTAACAACAGTAATAGCAAAGTGGAAAGCTACAGTTCTTCTCGAGAGGGGATCCTGAAAATAATGTTATTGAATTATTGAAAATAATAAATACATTCTGATTAAGCTAATTTGATTCACACTTATAGTGATAACAAAATGCACTGCTTTTTAAATGTAATGTCTTTGATCAGGATCAAATTTGAGCAAATAAATGTAATAACTCATGATTAACTAAACTGTGATCAATCACAATTTAATTATTTGACAGTCATAAAAGTAATAATGAAACGAGTAAACTACATACTCATCGGGGACCCCCTGGTGCTTACACCCCTGTGTAGCAATATACCTGTTTCAACAGCTAAAACCACTAAAATTCTACAATAACACCATGACGTTCATGAGAAAGATGTGCATAGGACAAAATGTGTAGCCTTGGCTAACCACAGGGTGCTAAGTCCCAAGGCTCGTCCAAATGGTGAACTGTAAACGAACAACTCGTCCTCTAAGGTCTGTGAGCTGAAGAGACATTGCACTTTATTGAACTTGAATGGAGAGAGATTCAGCTTGCATGAAGGGAGATACAGCGAGCCCCAGCTGGAATCAAAACTGGTTTACATCAAAACTGTCCTTCAACTTACCTGATCCCACCACCTTCCACATGTCAGAACAGCTTGCTAGACCAACTCTTTAGGGTCGGAGTAATGACAGCGGATGTCTTGCGTTCCCTTGCATCAATCAACTAGCACTCATCCCTGTGCTACTTTCCCTCTAGAAGCTGATGTATGTCCCACAGGGCGTTCACATTCCGCATCCAGGCTGCGAGTGTTTATGGTGCAGGGTAATGCGATGGGACAAGCACAGGGTTTTATGCTGGCTATTAAAATCTGTCTCACGGCACAGCACACATGGCAGCAAACTGAGAGCGCTCATGACTCCTCTCCGCCTCATGCTCAAGGACGTCCCAGTGCAAGCCAGAGATAGATTGTGTGAGCAAATGGAAAGTGCTGCAAATCCACTTTGTCTGAGTGTGATCACCAAGAAGTCTGAGTGGCTGGTGGACCGCCCTACATTTCACTCCCTGCCCCATCTTTTAAAGATGGTGGGGAGTTTATAGCACTTTGGACCACAGCTACTGTCTAAATGGTCAAAAAAACATGTCTAAGTTACAGGAAGCCTGTTAGCAGTGAAGATAGTATACTGTCATTCATGTAACTCCAGCAGTTATGATCTGTTAATAATATAGGATTTGGAGAAATTAGTTAAACAATCATATCATTGATATGCTGTCATATCAAAACCTTGTAACTCCATTATTTACATGTTATGAAAAAATGCCCACAGCTTTTCACCTGGTGTTAACATTTTATGATGTCATAGTCCAAAATTACTTGTAATAAAATGTCTTCATTGGACATTGAAGTTAGGAAGGTGGTTTCATTCGCCAATAAAATGACCTCTTCAGTTCTATGAGATTTTCTTATGACAGCAACAACATTCAGTGCTGTATAAAAGCCACAGACCAGCCTTTCGTTTGTTTCATTTTCAGTCAAACAGCCATTAAGTACAAGTTATTCATTTTTTAATGTTGGAAAAAAACAGGAAATATATCTTTAACAGAAAAGTACACAAGGCCTCAACAACTAAACAAGTGGACAAGTATTTAATTTGTCCGCTCTTCATGTGCACCTACTGCCACTTGTCTTAAAACCAGGGGTGCCCAATCCTGGTCCTGGAGATCTACCACCCTGCAGAGTTTAGCTCCAAACCTAATTGAACACACCTGAACCAGATAATGAAGGTCTTGAGGGGCGTCTGAACATTAGAGCCAGGTAAGCTGGATTTGAACTCTCCAGGGTTGTAGATCTCCAGGACCAGGATTGTGCACCCCTGCTTAAAACCAACCAGGCACAGCTGTGTCCCCCTAACAAAAGCTTCCTAAAGGAGTCAATGATATTATGTTCTCCTTTAAAGAGACACTAATATTTACACAAGCAACTTCTCGAACACACCTTACCTGCCTCACAGATTTCTCATGTTTGCCATCAGGATTATTTGGATTGTAAGAAGCTATAATTGCAACCAACTTCTAAGACTGAACTTTATAGACTGAACATTTCCAAATTTCTTTGAAAACTGAAAGCAAGTCTCCTGAAAAGAATGAAAGCTGTAATAAATATACAGGGACACACTAAATAGTGAGAAAAACTATATTATATTTAGTTGTTGAGGCCTTACACACACATGCACACCTTATCTAAGCCGCTTATCCTTCTGGGTTGCATGGGGGTGTTGGAGCCTATCCCTGTGTTCATTGGGCGGAAGGCAGGATACACCAAGGATGGGAGCCCAGTCCATCAGAGCCTTTACGGTGTAATATATATCTATAAATAGTTAAATACATCATCTCTGCTGTGCAAATCCTTTGCATGCTTAATGATGAACGAACCAATAGAAATGCTCTAAAGTTACTCGGGAAAAAATGTTACATCAACTTGTGTTAAAAGTTAAGAATGTTACCATTTTGCAAAGGTAACATTTTGAAGATAGGATACGGAAAATATGATCAATTTTCTACTTATTCCTGAAGCTTAAAAATGAATAACTAGTTGTTGGCTGTTTTGACTGAATATGTATAAATGAAAGCACTGTTTCTGACTTCTGAACAGTACTGTATGACCCACAAGCAAAGTAACTGTAAATTGCAGTAGGAAACAGTATTGTGTTATTTTGACATAGATTTTTTTTTTTTTTGTTCTGAAGATGTTTACATCCTTGCCAAGCTGCAAGTGCCAGAATTGAGATTTATAAAGATTTCCCTATTTTGGATCACAAAGAAGAGAAGAAACAGAGGAATTACACAGACAAAAAATGATGTAGTGGCAAGTGAAATCATCTTAAGTCTAATCAGTTTGTCCATAATATCTCGATTATACGATTATGAGATCATAAAAATATTCAACCTCTTTCTAGACATTTTGGACTTGTTTTAAGGGTCCCACTTTATTTGGATGGTCCTCCGTAGATGATCTACAGATAATTAAATAATTAACAAACTTCCTGGTGATGTTCAGTTGATTATCAACAACATTATGGTTATGGTTAGGGTTAGGAGTAGATGTAGGTTTTGCTTTGAGGTTAGGGTTAGGGATAGATTTAATAAAGGCTTTCACACTACATTTCAGGTGAATTTAATGGATATTTAGTTGAATGTTACTTAAAGATATACTGAGCATTTACAAGCATCTACAGTGGACCATCCAAATAAAGTGTTACTGTTTTAAATAATGTTATCTTGTGAAGTTTTCTTGTTCCATTTGTAAGATACTATTGAGACTATCAAGAATTATTTCTTAAAACAAGCTAAATCCTCTGCCAGAACTTTTAAGGTGGTTTAAGATGATTTCACTTTCCTAGAAAGTATTTTTTGCTGAGAAGAAGAAGCCATGAGCAGTTTATCCACCAGTCTGAATGAGATTAACTGGAGAATAGCATTATAATCAGCCAGGGCTGAGCGGACGGTTTGCGGTTTCAGACTTTCTCATTTCCCTTCCATTTCCTCTTGTCCTTCCTCTCTCTCTTGTTTCTTATCTGTAACAACGACTTTGTTTCTGGGTAGCCTCAAAGGCTTGCTATATCAAAGTGGTGATGCTCAAAGCAATGAAGCAATGACGGATCTATTTTTAGAGCGAGCTGTGGTGAGATGATAGGATGAAAGGGTTATCGAGATGTTTATATATCAGTATTTTTGAGAAGATCAGGTGTATAACTCAATCATATATGGTTTTTATTTTTGTTTGTATAAATGCATGTCATATCCCTAAAGAAATAGTCCTAGACAACATGCAGAGCATTACTGTACATATGAATATATAAAGCTGTATATATCAACTTTATTTATCTAATATTGTGTTTTTTTTATGTAAATACGCAGATATATCATGATTTCAATGACTATCACTTACATCATGATCCTTATATGTGTATGTAACTGAAACCTTATCTAATAGGGTAGGTCTGTCTCATCTTTCACAGCAGAATGTCCACTGTGGAATTCACTCTTACAGTGGTCATTTGGGCCAGTGTTCATTCAGCAATAGATTTTGCTGTGGTAACACTTTGGGATCTATAAAATAGATGACTTCATGCTTTTTTGCAGATGTCAAAGAGCCATTAAGGCAGTTTGTGGGATTTACATGGTATCATAACTGATCTGGCTTTAGGAGCAATGTGTTTAAGTTGATCTGGCAAAGCAATATAGTACTGAGTGCACAATTAGAGACTGGTTTAGTATTTTGCTATTGTTGCTTGAAATATTTATGATTCATGGCACTTTTCAAACATGAATTAAAGTTATTAAATAAGTAACAGGTTTTGTATCTGCTTCTTTATACAAATATATAAAGCAGCAGCTGAGATCACTGAGCTATCAGTAATGCTGTGCCTAAAACT